GGTATGGTGTAGAAGCCTCAGCTGTTTCTCAGTTGTAACACTGATGTGACAGATTTATTAGGTCATCCATTTCTGTGGATAATCTCTCTCTACTCCGTGTGATATCTAGTTGGCTAAGCCAACTGTCAAACCCATCAGAGATCATACTTTGCCAGGGGGAAAAAAATCTCACTTTCTTTCTCCAACTCACACATACATGTTAATATGCCCCTATATGACTACCACTCACTTCTAAATCCTAAAATGGATGGATGGATGGATGGATGGGGAGGAAGGGACCACCTGAGTCTCTGCGATGAGTTGCTACCGGAATAAAAATCAAAATCAGATCCTGTCCCTTTCAATACTTCTTCCCAAGACTCTCATACTTCGTTGTCTGGGGATGCCAGAATTCTGGACTCACAGCCTCTTGACGCATCTGAGGATGGGGATGTGCCCCCGTAAACCCAGAGGAAAGGTGGCAGGGGACCCGGAGAGGAGAAGGGCACAGCGTCTCCACCACAGACCCCATTCTCAGAGAGATCCATTTTAAGAGGCGGCCCCAAATGGAAGAGCTGGGACAGGACTCTTGGAAACGCTTCCCCCCACCTCAGGGGTCTTCAATGCACCTGCTTGAAGACTACTGCTCAACAACACTCCTGATCCCAACCCCCATCCCTGCCCCATCCCGTCCTGTCTCCCCGCGCCTCAGGGACTAAGGTTTAGTCTTGGCTCCTCATCCCTGCGGCCCGTTACTCTCCTCCTTCAGGGATGGCACCAGCACATGGTAGATTCAGTTTCGCTCTTTTCAAAGCAAAGACTCTGGGCCCTGCGGGCTCCTGCCAGAGGCGGTGCAGATCCCAGGCAGTGGTCCACACACCCCTGCCGCCCAGCAGCAAGAACCCTGGCCCTCCCCACTACCTAGCACCGGCACCTCTCATCCCGCCTTCCCTCTTGCAAAGTGTGGATCTTAAAAAAAAAAAAAAAAAAAAAAAAAAATCTCCCCTCCTCATTCCTGTTTCCTCCTTCTCTTTGTCTTGGGCCACATGTGCTGAAACAAACCTCGGCCAGGGCCACAGCAATCTTCCTATAAGTGGTTCCCGCGAAAGCATTCAAGAACTCTGCCTCCAGTCACCAAGAACGCCACCTAGACAACGTTCAGAAAGGGTGGTACCACCTGAACGGTGGTACGTAAACCTCAAAGGCACTGAGGGCCTGCAGGCCAGCTCATGGCTATGTGCCGGGCTCCGGCGCTTCCAGATTCCTCCGCTGCTTTCCAGCTCTGACAGCAGAGTCGGTGGGACAGAGCACCATATGACTTTGAAGTCTAAAAAAATTTACCGTCTGGCCCTTTAAGAAAAGTTATACTAATCCCTGATTCAGATTAAAATCGGTACTTCTAAACCTCTTAGCTAATACCAGTCTCTTCGATTTGGATCTTAAGTTTCACAAAATTTCCTAGATGTTATTTGTAGGACATGGAGAGAAAGATCGGAAGCATCAAGCATGTATTCACCTACTACGTAAGGGAGGGAGGGAAAGAGTCTCCAGGATCGCAGCCTGTAGAATCCAGCAGAAGCCCACGATACACCCTGGTACGGGCAGGATGCCCAGGCTCTCGAGGTTCTGAGCAGAATGTGATGTCTACACTCTGCTCAGGTGGGTATGTGAAAAGGGGGAAGCGGGGAGAAGGGGAGGGAGGAAGAACAGGGGGCAAGAGAAGAGACTAGGCGGCATCTGGCAAGGCACTGAAGAAAGTCGAGAGATGAGGATGGGGCCGGGTTCTCGGGAGGACGTCCTGTCAATTCTGGGACCTAAGGACGGAGCAGGGCTCAGCCACGTAAAGAGCTGGGAGGGGGGATGGGTTTTGGGAAGAGCAAAGAGAAGAAACAGCTGAGCAGGCTGCTGCGGAGTGCCCAACGAGGGGGAGGGGGTAGAGCCAGAGAAGGAGGGCAGGTTAGGAAGGGCCAGACCCCACCCCCACCCCCACCCCCATTACTGGAAGCTGCCACAGGTCTCAGAACAGAGGAATGGAACTGGTCAGACTGGCTTCAGCGAGAGGCCTCAGCTGCAGCCAGAAGAAAGCACCAGATGGAAGGGCTGCAGGAAGATTCCCGAACTGCCGGGCTGCACCTCCAAGACTACCATGAAGTGTGGGTGCCAAGACCGAAGACGCTCATACTTAGGATGACCTGACCCGAAGCAGATGGCAGTGGAACGACTACTCGGCCCAGGTCAGGGCACCGAGCCAGGCGAGGAAAGCCCGGCTCTGACCCCTTCTTGCTGGGCTCCGAGCGGGCTCACAAGCCAGCAGTGTGGTAGTTCCAAATGCCCAGGACACAACTAACCTGGTCCCTTCCTGCAACAAGAACAAATCTTTTCCCTTACTCTACCTGCTTCTGTCCTCCGACTCATGTACTTGTTTGCAAATCTCAACGTCCTGCAGAAACCCTGAGGCTTCCAAGGGTTCTCTCTCGTTGACTTAGGAGTTGAAGCACTTTTAAACAGGCCCAAGTAATACCTCCAAAAACTTCTAGGGGAGTGACCTTCAACGCTTGAGAGGTTAAAGAATCCAGCTTTCCAGGAAAGTTAGAAAGTTCATGTTGCTAAAGAAGTGATCTGTTGAACTTCTGTCAAAAAATCAAAACAAAACAAAACTAAAAAACCCCCAAGCCAAACCAAACCAAACCAATGGAAAACGGCAAAGCTCTGGAAAACTATTGCTCAAAAAAAAAAAAAAAAGGGGGGGGGGAGTAATTCCTGTTTGTTGTTCGTCTCTGCTTTTCTAAACTCTGAAGAACAGCACAGCTGTGACCCCTAGGAAGCTGTCGGGTAACCATGAACATCACTGTCCTTGACGGGATCTGTTTATTCACTATTTATTTATCCAAGAGAAGGGGAATGGCCCAGTGACCTTATTATCCCTGTCAGAAGACAACCGCGGCCTACCCTGAAAATGCTCCAAGCGTCCAGAATTCTCTCTGACCTCCAATGGCACATCGCCGATGCCACAGGTGGAGACCAACTTGGAGGAAAACAATTGACGTAACTCTGTTGTTGGAAAGCCGCACAACTGGGGAGGATTAACTACTGTCCTGCCCTGTGTAAAAAGCCTGAGGGAAGTTTCTCGTTCTTCACGTAGTCTGCTGTGTAAGATGGAGAGCTGGGCCTGGACGGGAAGGATCTTTCTCAGTTCTTCCCCACTCTAACTGGGCTTCATATTTAGAAGGAAGAAAAAGAGAAACCGTGTTCCTTTTCTGATTCTAAGGGCTCAGTCCCCCAAAGGCAGATACAGAAAAAATTATGGTTCTCAAAACAGAGCTGAAAATACACCACAGGATAATGAACTAGAGTTCCAAATGAGATTCTAGAATTTCCTGTGACTCCCTAGCTACATCTGCCTGCTCCCGAGGTCTCTTTCTCCATAAACTCAGAGCCTTTTATGAATGTCTTTCAAATGGGTGTGCAGCGGATTAATGGGAGGAGGTCAGCCCAGTGCCCGTGGTTTCGTTTGCAGATATCTAGGTGCTCTTTATGCAAAGGGCACAGTGGTCGCCTGTGCTGTGCACACACGGGTTTTACACTTCCCGCACGCAGGGGAGCAAGCAAGGCGGGGGGCTGTGAAAGGTATTGATCGTGATTTCTGGAAACAGAGGGCCAGAGGGACTGTCCATTACCGGGGCATGTGCTCAGAGCCAGACAACTTAGTTTTATTTTTATATCGATGTCCCATAAGAGGAACCAAAGCATGACTGCCCTGAGAAGGTAAAAAGGTCACTCTGCATTACAGTTTTTCATGTCGGCAAAAACGCAGATGGTACAATCGGTCATATTTCTTCTAAGAAATCACTAACACCAGTCGAATACAAAAAGATCACAGGGCAACATTCTGGAATAGTACTTTAAATGGTCCCCTTAGCTCCAGTGGCCCTGGGTTAGATTTTGTGTGTGTGAGCCCATAAACAGTCCCTTTAAAAAGACAAGAACTTTTACACCCAGAAGAGCGCAGCCCCCTAAGACCTTCACCCTGTGACCCCATATGATTATTCCAAAAATGTTAGCACATTTAAAAACAATGGCAATCTCCCCTTTAGGATTCCCCAAGAAATGTGAGAAACCAGTCATTCCACATTACATTTTTTTTCCATGTACATCAAAACACGCACTTTTCCCGGAAAAGAAAATTACATGGTATCTCCTGTTGTACATCTTGATTTTTTTTCCCTTTAATAGTACGTCGTGGAAATATGTGCACACACATGTGGTTGGGCACATGTGCAGAAGGACAGAAGACACAGACCCCCCCGCTGCACGCATATTCACGTACAAACCAGTACATTTCAGATTCCCTTTCATAGCCATACTTTGTAGGACACAAAATGTGATCAAGGAAGTCGTTCTCTGTACACACACATCTGACAGATAGTCTTTGCCAAGGTGTTGGTGACAGGCCTTTCTAAGTGGGCTGAAGAGAGTAACAGACAGAAACCAGCGAAGTAACACACGAATGAAGGAAAGACCAGCTCTTGTGGGGAGAGCCTGTGGGGAGAGCCTGTTGTAAATGGCAGTGGTGAAAAACTCAGCAGACAGACTGTAAAGAGGTCACCACCCCCTTGGCCCTTTCTTTAAATCAGGATGTAGCCACAGCTTCTTCAGGGCCGTGCACCAAATCTTAGCTTTTCTTTGGAGTAAAGTGGGAACTTCAATTTCCACTTGAGTATTTGAAGAGCGGAGGGCTAAATCAAACAGAATTCTTGAATCAAATTACTTCTGAGCTGATGCGCAAGGACCAAGCGAGTCTTTTACCCTAGAACCTGGGTGAAAAACGTTCCCGTATTATCAAGGCAAGTAAGAACTCAAATGCGAGAATCGCGGAGAAAAATCATCCCTAATATGTCCCCTCCACCATTCCTCTTCAGAGAGACGCTGGAGAGAGCTGTTAAGGAAATGGGTGACACCAACTCCAACTTAACTGGCAGGTTCGCTACCATCTGAAAGGCAGACATTTTACTGCGACTTACCTCCATCATCCAAGGGCCGTTTCTGTACTCCGTATCCATACACTGAGGGGTCCACTAGAGGTGTGGAATTATTCAAGTGAGGAACTGAATCAATTTTAGCAGCAATCTACAGAGAGAATCAGATTTAAATGCTCAGTAACGAATCCTGGCTCCATGTGAGGGAGAAAGAGGAGAGTCCTCTTAAAAGGCCTGTTATCCCATTTCTCCCCCTGACCTAGATTAATGTAAGGCATTGCCACCAAGGGGACAAACACTTTCCACCGCTAACTGAATTTTCTTTTGGCCTTAACAATGTCTTTAGGAATAAAATACTTCCAAACGTTTGTCTTCTACAAATTAGTCTTAAGCGGTCACTTAAAATACAGGTATCCTGCATTCTATGATGAAAAAAAAGGAGGCCAACAATATTAAGAACTTTGTTCAGAAGCTTTTATCACAGGGTTCCCTTAAGAAACAAGCTCCCCGATACTATTTAAAAGGCTGTGTTTGCTCAAACATGACAACTTGTTAGGAAAACATTCATCCTATAACTTCAATGCCTATAAAGTGATGATGTCATCTATGGAGAGCTAAAATAGTAAGCTGCTCCTCATTGGAAGTGTCCAAATAGTGGGGAGATGACTATCCACAACATTTCAGAAGGATTCCTGCACTGGAGAAAGGGAGACAAGCTCTGAGAGCTATTTCAATTTCTAGTATTTATCAGTTAAAAAAAAAAAAAAAAAAGATTGTATAGCTATTAAAGCATTTTCCCCCAGAAACAAATGCTATGGGGGAATTACTTATCTACTTTGTTCTCATTGGAAAATTAAATGTGATCTTCATGGTACATCAACTCTTTCATTTAATCAAAAAAATTATTTACAGCCACTGCTCTTGATGTTAGTCCCTAAGTTAAGCGTTATAAGTAGGTGGGGAATAAGGGGCAGACCGAAGGGCTGTCCCATGAGAGGGAGTGTTCAGTGGTAGTTTTTCCGAGCTTGTCCAAATATGCCCAGAAATCTGAGACCTTCTGGAACCAACATAAACGACCTTAAACATGTAATGTCTTAAACAAGACATAAATGTCTTACACAAGACAATCATGATACTGAAACCCCAAGGCAGGGCTTAAATGTCAGGGATCCGGGGTCAGGTCTCTCTGGTTTCGTAGTTCTGTGGTGTTGGACAAGCCCCTCTTCCCTCTGCATGAGATCCTCTGGGTGTCCCACCACCAGCTGCAGAGCTTGGGGAAAGCTAACAACATACTCTCAACACAGAGGAACTTTACATCCTAGAAAGCACTTCACAAAGAGCGCGGCTGTTAAAACAAGACAACTCATCCAACCAATGTCGAGGGTCTACTATGTGCCGGGCTCTGTTCCAAGCACTGGGGTTCCTGTGGTGAACAAGAATACCTAGGCCAGGGGGCACCTGGGCGGCTCAGCTGGTTAAGCGTCTGACTGTTGATTTCAGCTCAGGTCATGATATCAGGGTTAGATCGAGCCCCTCATCAGGCTCTGCACTGGGCATAGAGTCTGCTTAGGCTTCTACCCCGCCCCCCCCCCCCACCCCTTCCCCCCCCCCTTAAAAAAAAAAAAAAGGAATAACCAGGCCCCTACTCCAAGTTAGCAGTCAGTGGTACTAGAGTAACAGGTACAGAAGCTAACCGATAACTGATCATTTCAGCAGGTTATAAGCATTATGCCAATAAGAGAAGACGATGACATAGAGTGCTTTGGAGAGCAGATCAGGGAAGGCCACTGTGAGCACATGAGGTCGTGTGATCTAAGACCTAACGGCTGAGGAGGAGCTGACGATCCAACAGTCTGAGGGAGCACTCCAGGTAGAGGGAACATTCCAGGCAGAGGGAACAGCCTGTATAAAAGGTCTGAGGCAGGAGCCAGCCTGGTAGGGATGAGTCCAGAAGACAGAAGTCAATGTCACAAGAGTGGGGGAACTAGATGTGTTCCAAAACACAGGCAAGGGCCAGTTCCCTAGGGCTCTAGGTCACGGTAAGGGCTTGGGTTTTATAGGAAGGGTGACAGGAAGCAACTGCGATGCGTACTAGGGGAAGAAACATGTTGGTTTATGTTTTTAAAAGGTCCCCTTGACAAGGAAAAGACATTCTAAGGGGACAGGAGTAGGAAGACCATTTAGGAGACATTCTAGGTCAGGGCTCAGCAAACTATGGCAGCTGAACCACTTGCTTTTGTATAGAAAATTTTATAGGAATCCAGCCACACACATTTTTTGGTGGAGGAACTGCACCGAGATCATATGGTACACAGTGCCCACATAGGTCATTTACTATAAAGTCTGTGGGTCCCTGTCTAGGCTAGCGATGATGGTACCTGGATAGGTGCTTGTTTAAAAATATTATTAGTAGTAAATAATTAAACTATCAAGACTGCTGATAGAAACCTAACTCCTATATCCAAGAGGCCATTTTCTCTAAAACAAAATACTGTACAAGTCTTGCCTAACAGCATTCTACCACTGACTTGTAATCTTGCTTTCCCTATTTGTTTTGGATAAGTTTATGGGGGTTGGCTACTTACTTAAGATGCAAAAGTTACTTTGATGGGCCCAGCTGGTAAAGCAGGTAGATTAAAAGGAGAGAACACTGCCTCTGCTTGTGCCCCATGGAGACTCTTTCATTTGCTACAATAAACTTAGTTGTAAATGACTGATGGGGGGTTTTTCAGGATTGTTGGCTGGTTTGCTTTTAAAGATGACCCAAAATGTTCCCAGCAGATAGTGAAGATGACCCCAAAGCACAAAGAAAGGGGTACAAGGGCACATGATTATTGGTGGAGTCCCCCAAGAGCGGGTATGCCAAACCACACGAGACACAGAACCCCAAAACCTCAACTCGACACACATCAGGCATGCTCCCTGCTCCTTTCTGATACTTCTTTGCTTCTAGATCTTTTTCCTTCTTTCCAAAGCAGCTAGAATGTTATTCCTGAGTCTCTGGCCTTCCTTCTAACTTACACAGTATGTTTTGCATGTTGCTGGAATGTCATTTTTTCCCAAAGCTGATATGCTAAAAATGTTACAATAGTTTCCTGTTCCTGAATTTGATTAAAGGCTGAGGCTTTCAGATTTGTTCTTAAGTCATGTTTACTTCAGTTATCTATAATTTGGGAAATTTCCACTAAGAGAAAAGCAGTACACACTACTGGTTAAGAGGTGTAGCTCTGAAGTCAACCAACGGCATTTGAACCCTGGCTCAACAAATGTTAAACAGAAGTTTAACAACTGTATCATAATTTACACTGTACACATAATATTCTGTAAAGAAACAATGTATTCTTTCATCCATACAAATGCAACCTTATTTTAGTTTAGCTCCACTCTGTGGAGCCTGATGCAGGGCTTGAACTCAGAACCGTGGGATCGAGACCTGAGCTGAGATCAAGAGTCAGATACTTAACCAACTGAGCCACCCAGGCACCCCCAGCCTTAAGAAATGATTTTAAATGTCCACCAAAATGAGTTAAAATTTAGTGTTTGCTGCGTGCTGGGCATTCTGCGAAGAGCAGAAAAATAAATATATATTTATTTTTTATATATTTATATATATTATTTATATATTTATAATATATATTATTTACATATTTTATATATATTTTTATAAATATATATTGATTTTTTAGAAAGTTAAAACTTTTAAAAATGGTTTTTATTTATTTGCAAAAAAGAGAGAGAACATGCTCTCGCACAAGTAGGGGGAGGGGCAGAGGGAGGGAGAAGCAGGTTCCTAGCTGAGCAGGGAGGCAGATGCGGGACTCCATCTCAGGACCCCAGGATCATGACCAGAGCTGAAGGCAGATGCTTAACCAACTAAGCCTGAGTGAGGCATCCCGGGAAGCGCATCTGAAATATTCTATCTTATTTATTCCTCACAATGACTTTCTAGGAGGTTGATACTATTTCAAGACAAGGAAGAGCGAGGCTTAGAGCAGCTGAGTGCCCCGCACACTGTCACACACTTCCTAAGTGGCAAGAGGCCTACTGAAGCCCAGCCTGCCCAGCTCTAGCCTACGCTATTACCCACAGCGCTAGGCACATCCCCTCTCCCACCTAATACTCTATTAAACATTTTTCATTTCCCAAGGACTTAAAACCTAATGTTTTCCAGGGCACCGAGCTCAAGCAATTCCCCACACCGTAACTGATTGCTCCGAAGGGCAGCTGCTTCAGGGAAGTGAGGTACATTCTCAGCTAATAATGGTGTAGGCCAGAAAACAAGTCACTGAAGCCAGGACACTCCAACCAAACCAAGGCCACTCCCTTCTTCGCCCTGAAGGGACTCTGCTACTGATTTTTTAACCACTCGATTCCCTTTCCCCCCTTCTTGGGGGGAGGCCAGGAGGAAAATCTGTTATCTCACTACCTGTGCTATTTTAGGCACCATAATAGATGAACTACAAATCAACATCACACGTATTTGACCTCGACTTTGAATAATTAGTGGAAACAAGGAGGAGGGGAGCACTGAACCAGGAGTCAGTCAAGGGTCCTGTTTTTCCAGCCAGCTCTTCCAGTGTATGACCTTAGGCGAGACTTTCAGTGGCCTTGTTCCTTGGGGTACTCACCTGTAAAATGCAGGGACAGACTAAACCAGTGTTTTCCAAAAAGAAGTATGCAGGCATTTTGGGGAGGTACATGGATCAATGTTTTTAAACTTTGAGAGCGTGTGTGTGTTCTACGGCTATATATGTTTTTTTATACACACACACACACACACATATATAAATGTTTCTTACTGTTACCTTCTATGCAAGGCAAAGTTTTCACTTACAATAGTGATTTAGTTTCCTTTTAAAAATATTAAGTAAACAAACACTGAGGGTTCAATGATATGGCAGAAATCGTAAAGGTGCTACACACATCATTAAATTTAGGAAACATAGTGATTAATTATTCCCAGTGCACATTTTTACAACTAAAATTCTCTGACAAGTTTCTTTTTCTTTTTTTTTAAAGATTTTATTTATTTATTTGACAGAGAGAGATCACAAGTAGATGGAGAGGTAGGCAGAGAGAGGGGGGGAGAGAGAGGGAAGCAGGCTCCCTGCTGAGCAGAAAGCCCGACGCGGGACTCGATCCCAGGGACCT